GTACCATTTTTATGTTGCATTATTACTCAGACTAGAAGGAAGAGAGGAATGCGCTTACCTTGATTACGTCATCTGAAATAAATCCTGAAAATTGGCTAGAACCATCTGTACCGCCAACCCCAAACATCCCATGAGATAACCAATTCAACCATCCACGGGGCATGCTGAATAGTCGTCCATCTTCGAGAGGTTTAGCAATATTAAATGATTGCACGAGAAAGCAAGTAAAACGTCCTGCAAACAGTGTGAGAAAACTTTTTCTTAACAGAAACTAAGAATTTAAAATGACAAAAAAAAAATCTTTTAAAGCAATATAAAGAACAAGATTGCACGTGTTTATTATGTGATTCTTATTTCTTAAAATCATAGATTTAATGCTTCAATTCTTCTTGTATTCTTAAGCTAAACTTCCAAGAAAAAAATAAAACTTACATGCACCACTAAATTGACAGTGTATGCTACGCAAATCTATTCTATGCATCACAGTTACCTGCAGCAATCCGTAACATAAGATCTCATCCATGTCAGATTCTTTCTCTATTTCGTCTAGCATTTGCATCACATCTTCAGCACATACCTGATAATGATGAACAAGAGTTTTTATGAAGAATAAAAATGTAGAGAGGCAACAGATTCGTTTTTACACATTCATTAAATGATTTTGGTAACAAATAGATACCAACTAGCATTTTGGCAGATAATATGAAGATAACAATTTTAGGAATGTAAAATCAACTGTCAAACAAAGTAGGAACTAAGAAGCAACTTAGGAAGGCAAGTGAAGGGATGAAAAAGGTTGGCAAAAAGATTTTCTACAATTAGATAATATATAGCAATACAAAATAATTTGTTATGTAATAAATTTAATAACATATGTATTAATATTTAATTAAAAAATAGTAAAATACTAAAGATTTGCTTAAATTTAATTAAAAATACTAAATATGTGCTTATGTACAAACATTCATGTATATTTTGTTTTACATCACTTGTGAAACAAAGAGTAACCTTGACTAGCTCAAACTATTGGGTTAGCCACGAAAACTCAAACTAGCCCATTCAGGCCTCAAACTAGCCCATTCAGGCCATTGGGCTTATCGAGCTAAAATTTTCAACCCTAACCCTTAAAGTTTTCGATTTTGTCAAATTAGCCCACTAGTTTCGGGTTAAGGTTGGCATCCCTAATCACAATCTTGAACTTACCTTGACAAATGAAGGGACAGAGAAGCCTTGTATGCTAAGTGTTTGATAGATTGCCCAACTAGTATTACGCAACCATGAGAGTGGAGTCTAAGGCTAGTTGGCTAGTCCAATGGTCATGAGAATAGCATTGGCACTATTGTTGTATCGAGCTTGTAGCACATTCACTAATAACTCCTCTTTACATCAAAGACTTAATAGCCAAGTCTGAGTCCCTCCTTTCTATTCTTGTTTGTTAAATATTTCTATTCCTTCGCCTATGTTTGCTTAGGAGTCTAGTGCATATTTCGATTGAATCTAAGATCTCAACCTACATGATTGTTGAGCTAACTCTTATATACTCGGTTATAACTTGTGATTAGCTCCTCTTAAGTCAACTCCCTTCCGTCACACCTTGAGGACGATATCCGGTGTGAAAATACCCTCTAACACAACTCTACCACTAAAAAACATCTTTCACTAGTCACTCATAAAAACTGGAAGGATTGCGCAAACTACGCATGATTCCCATGAAAAGGGAAAAAAAAGTATTGCTGCAAGTAATTACCACAAATAAAGCATCCATGGTCATCAATTTGTAAGACGTATGAAGAAAATCTAATGCATTATACTAAAAAGATTTCATCAATTTTTCACTCATCTCATAAGCAACCTCCAAATAGAATAATACCCAGGAAAATGTTGCTTCATAATTGTCAAGCTTGAAAACTTCATACCAAATACAGTCACGGCTTGGAAAAAATAAATGAATAAATCAAAGCAATGTTCATCAATGAAAATTCATATAAAGGAAACAATCTTAAAAGAACACACAGCAGCATAAATACCAAGAATCAGCAAACTTGAGGGCCAATGTAGTACGCGGGATGTCTAAGAGTCCTACAATTTTGGCAGCTCGAGCTTTAAATTATTCTCAAATCTCAAAATCTGCATTTCATTTAAATCTTATTTTCTTTCCTATTGTCATGCATTTAATGTTTCAAACACTTCCTTTAAACTAGATCTTTCTGGTTGAAATTCAGATTATATATTATTTGAATCCTAATATATTTCTGGTTTGCGTTTTAGATGAATATAACAAAGCCAAAGGTCACACTATTTTAGTTGGCTTGCAATGGCATCAAAGTATCAAGTGCTGACAAACTTGACTTTCTACCTTCAGCACACATATCAAAATATCTATGCTTCCACCCACCCTCTCCCAAAAAATAATGCAGCTTATAACTTTCATAGTGTTGTTCTTTTAAATTCCCACAATACCATACAGCAAACAATTGCAAGCTAAGGTAAATTTAGCAAATTGGAGAACAAAATTCCATATGCATAATTTATGCTCAGATACAGCAATAGCTGCAAGCTATAAGACTATAATGGAATTATGGCAAGTTATACTAAATGGTGTTTTTAAAGCATTCTAAAAATGCTTGTACTGGAATAATTAGCAGAAAACATGGAAAAAGTACAGAGAATTTATCTTGCTTTAAAGCAAATGGGAACTGAAGGTAATCAAAAGCTCAAGAATCAGCTCAACATTTTCCAATAATACTTCTTCTGCGATAGTTAGATGATTGTTAATGTAAATTTTATCTAAAATTCAGATTATTGTAAGTAGCTATAAATGATTATTATACAGATATGCCACAAAAATAACATGAATTAAAAAGTTAAAAGAGAGAAAAAAGTATTTGCTTTATCCTTTGTTATGTATTGCCAACCATCAAAATATTTACCCCTAAACTTTCATTAGAAGCTCAAACCCCAGCACAAAGAAATGAAAATGCCCAAATGTAATCACATTAAAGAAAAAAAAAAAAAGTTTCCCCTTCGTCAATTTTGTTACTATTACTTGTAAACCGGAGTGGAAAAGAGTGCTTTTCTCAAATAATCAGCAAGTTACCATTCCATAGAGTAATCTTGAGCTGCTCCGTTTGAATGTCCCGAATGTATTGGCCAAGGTAACCTAATAGCAACTTCCAAAATAAACCTTCAAACATTTCCAACAACAAGCGTGTATATGTAGTTCGTTTCCTAGCAAGGTTGTTGAATGATGTATATGTAGTAGAATAAGAGGACCAAGAATACCTAACTAGGAATAAAATATAACCTAATGGGCCTATTTTTAAAAGGGCCTAGGGTTTCAACACTCCATTATTATTGCGTGAAGCCGTGAACCATGGTCCACACAAGTTGTGTAGACCATATTTTGTATATTATAAAATAATATATATTTAATACAAAAGTAATGTACTTTTAGTATATTGAAAATGTACATTGTATTCAGGAGATGTACATTATTTGTGTACTGAGTGTACATTATATTATATAATGTACATTCAGTACATAAATAATATACATTTAGTATATTAAAAATGTACTTTTTGTTATGGTCCACACAATAATTTGCCTTCAACACTCCCCTCAAGCTGGAGATCAGTATAAATCATATGATACAATTGGAATTTTGGATTCTAAAGAAGGGGATTCACTTGCCGTTTTCGTGACGTCGTTTTAATTAGATAATAATAATTTTTGTTTTTCACTTGCCGTTAACTGCGTTTCTCTCTTCGCAATCGCATAATTTAGAAATTATTAATCTACTGTATTTAAATTATAAATCTCCAGTATAGAAATTATGAATCTACAGTAGTAGATTTGTGAACATGTGATAGAGCTATATGTTCATAATTTTATAAATATATGTTAATAATTATAGAGCCATATGTTCATAATTTTTTATGTTCATATATCCAATTGTTGAACTTTGTATTCACAAATCACAGAACTATATGTTCATAATTAGATAACTATACAGTTTAGAAATTATGGATCTACAATACATAAATTATGACTCTACAATACAAATATTATGAATCCGCAGTATAGAAATTATGAATCTACTGTATTTAAATTATGAATCTACGGTTTATAAATTATGAATCTACAGTATAAATTTTATGAATCTACAACCGTGCCCACCTTGCAAGGTGGGCACGGTTCCACAGCATAACGCTCCGGTTTCAATGCTCCCCACAAGCTGGAGAGTATAAATCATATGCTCCAAGCTTGTTACACAAGAATAAGCTATAACTTAATGGGCCCATTTTTAAAAGGGACAAGGGTTTCAACACTGCCCACAAGCTGGAGAGTATAAATCATATGCTCCAAGCTTGTTACAAATATACTCAACTCTAGGAGCTCTAAGGGATTTTGTTAAGATATCAACTAATTGATTTGAAGAATTGACAAATTAAAAATGGTTTTGATGCACTCTGACACAATCTTCTCCCTCATGAAGTGGCAATCAACCTCGATGTGTTTGGTTCTCTCATGATAAACTGAATTTTAGGCGATGCGTAGAGCTGCTTGGTTGTCACATATCAGTGTCATTTGAGCAACATTGCCACATTGCAACTCTTGTAGTAACTGTTTCAACCACATAAGCTCACATGTGGCAAGGGGCATGGTTCGGTATTCAGCTTCAGCACTGGACCTGGCAACAACATCTTACTTCTTACTTTTCCAAGATATAAGATTATCACCGATGAAGACACAATAACCCGAAGTAGAGCGCCTGTCAAATGGACAACCAACCAATTTGCATCAGAATACCCAACAACATGAGCATGTCCTTTATCTTCATATATAGTAAGCATTGTCTTAGTGCTCTCTTGATATACCTTAGAACCTAAACAGCAGCATCTCAATGAGTATCACAAGGATACTCAAGAAACTAACTCAACACACTAACTGTAACACCCCCTAATTTTCTAATATATAAATATACAGAAATACATAAACGAAATCAAAACTTTAAACTCAATGGGGTGTTATGCCATGTTTGGACTACCAACTAAACCCAAACGTACAAGCTACAAAGGTTCTATCTACAAATCCGAATACAAGGTTCATTAATCCAATTACAACTAACTATAAAACAGTTTAGATTCTAATCTAATCAACTATACCATAAGCAATACTTGAGGTGCAAATTCTACGCCGCGCTCTCAACTAGCCACAAATTCAGATCCTGATAACATGGTTCAACTATTAGCGAAAGAATGCTAAGTAATTTTCACTCCAAGTCGTAAAACTACGTACATATACTTTTGTATTCAAAATAGTTCTGAAACTGACATATATAATATATTTCAACGTAACCAACTCAATCACAAGGAAGTCTAACCGACTCATACTCAATCAAGGAGATAGGTTCAAGACCAATTGAAGAGAGAGACTACAACAAAAATGCTTAACTCAACTCAGATCTAATAGACAACACAAAGGATATGAGCAAGTTACCAACTATAGAATACCAAGAGTTTATAATGAGTATAGAAACAAAACTACTAATCTCAGGTACATGTTTATGACAGAGAAGATTATGATTTCGTTGAAGAGGTGGTCTATTGCTTACTTATAATGTTTTCCTTTTTGTATAACTTTATTGACGTATTTAAATTTTCCTAACTTTCACAATTCTCTGGATAGACCGGTGTCTGAACCTCCAATTTAAAATTTGGATTCTAAAGAAGGGGATTCAAATAATGAGGAGTCCACTTAGAGATGAATAATGAGGAATATGTCAACAATTTAATCTATTAAACTCATACCTTTGTTATGTTATTTGTTATTGTTTTTACTCATATTTTGCACTTTGTTTTTAATCAAATCAATTATTTGTATTTTGATGTTATATTATTATTATTATTATTATTATTATTATTATTATTATTATTATTATTATTATTATTATTATTATTAATATAAGCAATTGGAAACTATTATTCATGGCATTTTTCATTATTCATTTTGTACTATTCTTTATTTCGTAGTTTTTTTTTTTTTTTTTTTTTTTTTTTTTTTTTTTTGTAATGGTATTTACCTTAATTTAGTAATAATTTGAAATATTCTGTCATATTTTCAAAATGTAATCACACTTTTCCTTTATATATTCGAAATACAATCATACGGACTGTTACAAATCATTTACGGATGTGGTGCCGTTTTTGCCAATTATTTGTAACAATTTTCCAATTTGTATAATTTAACAAATTGATCATTTTTAATTGATATAACAGTTTTAATAATTTATATTTATATACAAATTATATAAAGCTTATTTTGTAACCAAGTATTGCACCATATTATAGTACTATTCAAATTTATTCAAAAATTTCGAAAATTAAATAATTTTAAAATATAAATTTATGTATGTAGTTTCCGGTTATGTCAGATTTAATTTACACAATACAACTTATGTAGTTTCCGCTTTTTAATATTTTGCTGCTCATAATAAAATAATTCACTAAAGATTTTTCAGCAAGTAAATAATCCGTAATTTTTACCTTATTTTATATAACTAATTGTATAATTTATATATACAATTTTCCCCCAACTATAATAAACTAATAAACTAATATATTAAAATAATATTAATTGGTTTTCCATCAAAGTTAATTCCAATGAATTTAAAATCTATCCATTTTTTTCAATTCATTATATGAGAATTTTGTGAGGAAAGTAAATAAATATAATAATAATAATTATGATGTAATTATTGGGAGAGTTATAGTTAGGCACATGGTGGTCATGCGAGGGATCCGTGTCATCACAAGCTTATTGCCTCCTAACTTCTGGTAGTTATGGACAAAAAACCATAATATGATTTTATATCCATAATAAATATTAATTAGGTAATCATATACCGTGTATATTAACTACTATGGTATTAAATAATTTTAATTAGGTATTATCCTATATATTAGGTATGATTATTTAATGGTGTGCATGGTATTAAAAATAATAATAAAGTATGTTATTATGTATATAGTAATATTTGGGTATGGTATTATCTTGTGTTTGCCAGAAATAAATCAGTCAATTGAAAAAAAAATTAGCGTGTGCACCTATGTATGCTAATCATATACATGGTATTAAAATCAATTTTAATTAGATATTAACATCTATTTTAGGTATGGTATTAAATAATTCTAATTAGGTATTACCATGCATATTAGGTATGATTATTTCATTTACCGTGTACACCTATGTATGATAATCATATACTGATATACATGGTATTAAAATCAATTTTAATTAGATAATACCATCTATATTAGGTATGGTATTAAATAATTTTAATTAGGTATTACCATGCATATTAGGTATGATTATTTAATTTACCGTGTACACCTATATGTATGCTAATCATATACATGGTATTAAAATCAATTTTAATTAGATAATACCGTCTATATTAGGTATGGTATTAAATAATTTTAATTAAAGATTACCATGCATATTAGGTATGATTATTTAATTTACCGTGTACATCTATGTATGCTACTAATATACGTGGTATTAAGGGTGTGTTTAGAAACCCGAAAAATGATTTCTGGAAATCATTTTCTGGATTGGCAAGAAAGAAAACACTAAAGTCAATGGAAAATGAATGGATTTTTACGGAAAATGACTTCCTTTTTTTTTTTTTTGGGAAGTCATTTTCCGCTTCTTCTTCGCGAAGCTGTGGGTACGAGAAGTGATTCTTTGCGAAGCTGCTCTGCCAATATCGCAACTTTCCCATCTTGTCTTCTCCAAGATTTCTCCATTTCAGAAACCCTTTGCGAAGTTGCTCTGCCAATATCGCAACCTTCCCATCTCTTCTTCTCCAAGATTTCTCCATTTCAGAAACCCTTTGTGAAGCTGCTCTGCCAATATCGCAACCTTCCCATCTCTTCTTCTCGAAGAATTCTCCATTTCAGAAACCCTTTGCAAAGCTGCTCTGCCAATATCGCAACTTTCCCATCTCTTCTTCTCCAAGATTTCACCATTTCAGTATCTTGGAACCGATTTGGATCTCATGGACGTCGGTGATTTTCCAAAGCAGTAGTACTAATTTCAGGGAATTTACCCTCATATCACTTCACATTTTGTTTTCAGATTTAATAATAATAATAATAATAATAATAATAATAATAATAATAATAATAATAATAATAATAATAATAATAATAATACTATAATAATAATAATAATAATAATAATAATAATAATAATAATAATAATAATAATAATAATAATAATAATAATAATACAAAGCTCATTTTCCAGAAAGTGAATCAAACACACAAAGACAGTTTTCCGTGTGCAACCAAACACCAGAATGGAAAATGTTTTCTGAAAAATGACTCAATTTTCACGAAAACATTTTTCAGAAGTCATTTTCTTACTTTCCAAATGGACCTTAAAATCAATTTTAAGTAGATATTACCGTCTAGATTATATATACATTACCATGCATATTAGGTATGAATTGGTTAATCGCATGCATAGTATTAAAATTAATAATAAAGTATGGTTTTATGGTATTAATCCAAAATATGGTATATTCTTTCAATACTCTCATATTGCATTACCGTGTACTTTGATATATATAAATGCTACAACTCTCGATGAAGTTTTCTTATAAAATCAGTACACAATACTCAATACTACGTTTTCCTCATCTACCTACATATAAAACCAATACACAATATTGCATCGTGCGGTTGAAATATCATGGAGTCTAATCAGCTTTCTGCATCAGATCTCTCTCTTAGAACTAAAAAAACATCTATATGGCTTTGGTTAATGCACTGTTATTTTTCTAGAGAATATCAACGCACGCCATTGCACCACCAAACTTTGGAATGCTTATTTAATCACTATAAGGTATTTATTGTATTTATAAATTACTTAAACAATAGTTTTTCTCTTTTATTCAATATCTACTTATCAATTGTAATTAATGAATGATTCCCGTAGGGAATATGCATACATCTAAAAATTCCAAAAGAATATGTGGAAAAATTTGCTACTGTTTTGATTGAAGGAAAAGTGTATGACATTCAGAATTTCATTGTGCACACATCTCGCGTGAGGTTTAAGACGTGCCAGCACAAATTCATTATGAAAGCAAACAGTGACACGGTGATTAAAGTCTCGGATCAAGATGATTCAATTTTTCAAAAAACATGTTTAAATTTAAGGACTTTGGGTCCTTGAAGGCTCCTGGAGGTGTTGATTGTAACGAATTAATTGGTAAGATCATTGCAACAACTTTTATATATATTGTTATTTTATTACTCTTTCATATTAGTCTATGTCATTTCTTTTTGCAATCTTCTGATTCTATTTTTGTCCCCACAGATTTGATTGGTCATGTAGCTTCCAATTCTAGAGTCTAAAGTTATTCAAGTTAATTAACAACCTCAAAGGTTGATTGATTTTGTCATTGAGGATTGTAGGTATGTGTTTTTGTAAAATTATTATGTCTTCCTTATTTGTATAAATAAATATATAGCCTTTATTACGAAATCAATTTGTTTTAATTCAAGGAAAGTCGATTGAGCATAACCCTACGGGATGAGCATGTGGTTTCGTTGTTGTCGTTCTATAACGTTGTTTTAACATATCCATTGATTTTTGTACTACAACTATGTAGAGCAAGGGTGACTGATGGTGAGTAATAACACAAAGGTAGATTTTAATTCATTTTTGTCGAATATACGTATTTAAAATTGGTTTTTATATTAGATGGTGAGGTCAAGATTTCTAGTTCCTATACGACAACTAAGATTTTGTTCAACTACGAATGCCCTGAGTTTTTCAGTTTTAAGGAGAGGTATTAACCCATTTTACTTTTGTCACGTCATATAATATGTAACCGATAACATCTTGAACGAATACAACGTATTTGTTTTAAGTAGTTTGCCTAGGTTCTTTACTCCTATACGGAGTATCAGCTCAACTTCCAGAATCATTGGAAGTGGATCTGTTGGAGCTATATCGAATCAGAATATCACAGTCAGTTCTTTAAAGGATATTCATTACAAAAAGAAGGTCACTATCATTTATACTAAATTTATATTACATTCCTTTTAATATTCAACTGATGATCTGATGCGTTTTAAATAAAATTTGTTGGTTGGAGAATTTTGGGTGTTCGGATAAATTCCAGATATTGAACACGATTGGTACATCACTGCA